GCCCCCAAATCCGGAAGTCCCGCCCCCCTGTCAGCTTGACGAAAGGGTGTTCCTAGCATCTCTTACACTGTGAAATGATTTAATAACAGTCATTAATTTTTTTTACATCAGCTAAAGTGGAAAACATAGGATCAGTTATGAATATGTCAAAGTGTTATTACAGTGTCATTAATATCTCTTACCTCAAGTAAAGTGAAACAAGTAGCAGCAGCTATAAAGATGTCATCTCTAGTGTAATAAAGCTTAATGGAATCTTTATTACTTGTCCTACTTGTTTTACTTTATTTCAGGGAGTGGAAATATTAATCATTGTTTTGTTAAAGCTTTTGCTAGTGTAATAATTAAATCATTATGACTACTATTATGACAAATTTATGTCAGATCATAATGTCTTGGTAAATAAGTTGTCATAACGACAACATTTTGAAAAATGTCAACTTTGTATTAAAAGTGTCATGATTTACCGAATGACACTTTATGACAACAGTCATAAATATTCATGAAGACTTATTGATGTTCATGACAGGTGTTATGTCATGTTTTTAACAGTGGCATGACAGTCTTATTCACCCCCCTTCACATAAAGTGTTACCCAAAAACTTAATATAATTTGAATAATTAAGTGAACCTAATGGACTGTTTGTAGCATCCCAGTTGAAAAGATGGTCTCTCAAACTGATGTTTCACAATTCTTTATTCAACAGCCTTTGTATGTGAACACGCCGTAAGAGCTACAAAATATAAAAATAAAATACCATTAGTTACTCAAATGGTGTTGTTCTAACCTTTTCCTTAACATTTGAATCCTTGTCTTATGTGCTATAATTGTTTCACAATACATTTATTAAACTCCAAGATTCCTGCATCATACAATAAAATACAATGTATCTCAACTGTTGAAAGTTAACCAAATATTAGCACCATCTAGTGGCAAAACACAACCGTCACACCCAATAGAGAACTACACTTTTATTTACACATCAAAACACTCACCTTGTTCCCTCAACAAGTGCCAACTAACTGATTGTCTACACCTTAATTTGAACTACTCCTTAATTATCTCCTTTTCACTCCGACCTGTGCGCTTCACGTTACCACCTTGCCTTTTCAAGCCCTTTCAAAATAAAAGCGTCAGCTGTAAAACAAATACTACTTAGTTACACGAGGAAACAAAAATACTAATAAGGTTATTTACACTGTTTAATAACTAGGATCAATGGAAATGTTTGTGTGATTGAATTGTTTGGAACACATTCAAGATATTTTTTGAATGCTTTCAAAAGCATTTGATGATTAAAGGATCTGCTTCCCATTCTACTCTATAACCTCTAGAAAGCAGCAGTAATACTGCGGTCTGGTACTGACGGCTTCTGTTAGGAACATTCGGACCAATCGGATCATATGTGATCTGATTTTTTTTTTAACCTTTATTAATCATCCCTGATTTAATCAGTTTTCTCCATCTTTTGATCTCAGGAGTGTTCACCGTTCGCAGCTCACCTATTTGATGCTGAGGATCCCAGCACCCCGCTCCGGACCATCCCAGGACTCTGCCCCGACTACTGCTCCCAGTTCTGGAACCAGTGCCGCTCAATCATCCCATTCCTGTCAGATTACACACCTTTAAATCAGGCCAAAGATGATCAGAATCGTTTCTGCAAGCTTCTAGAGCTGGATGATGCTGATTATTGTTATCCTCACCTACTCAGCAATCATAAGCTGAACCAGAACCTGGGCAGGGTTCAGAAAGATTCTGATGGTTGTCTGCAACTATGTCTGGAAGAGGTGGCAAATGGTTTGAGGAACCCACTGGCTATGGTTCATGCCAATGACGGTACGCATCGGTTCTTTGTTGCAGAGCAGGTGGGACTGGTGTGGACTTACCTCCCTGACCGATCCAAGCTGGAGAAGCCATTTCTGAACATCACCAAGGCGGTGCTGACATCATCATGGGAGGGAGATGAGAGGGGCTTCCTTGGAATCACATTTCATCCCAAATACAAATACAATGGCAAACTGTATGTGTACTATTCAGTGGAGGTTGGCTTTGATGAGAGAATAAGGATAAGTGAGTTCAAGGTGTCAACCAATGACATGAATCTGGTGGACCACACGTCAGAACGGTAGGTATGGACTGACCTGCACTCCAGAGTGGAAAACATCTGAATTTTAATGTTTACAGAATAAAAGTATTACTGAACTGTTTCTCTAAAGGGTAATTCTGGAGATTGATGAGCCAGCATCCAATCATAATGGAGGGATGCTGCTCTTCGGAGATGATGGCTACCTGTACATTTTCACAGGAGACGGTGGAATGGCAGGAGATCCATTTGGAAAGCATGGGAATGCCCAGAACAAGCAAGTACACAATGGTGCAATGAGGCCATGCTTAAAGCTAAAGTTTGCAAAGTGTAACTCTGCGAATGTTCCAGGTCTGCCCTACTGGGTAAAGTTCTTCGAATTGATGTGGACAACAATGATAAAGGTCCGCTGTACAGAATCCCCTCAGACAACCCATTCATCCACGAGCCTGGTGCGCGCCCAGAGGTGTACGCTTACGGCGTCCGTAACATGTGGAGGTGCTCGGTGGACCGGGGAGATCCACAAACCAAAGAGGGGAAGAGTCGGATCTTCTGCGGCGATGTCGGCCAGAACAAGTATGAAGAAGTTGACATCATCGAGAAAGGTTGCAACTATGGCTGGAGAGCGAAAGAGGGATTCTCCTGCTATGATAAGAAGCTGTGCACCAACAGCTCACTAAGTAAGAATGCTACATTACCCTGCTTTCAGATATAGCTGCACTGTTGGCAGGATGGATTAGATAAGCTATAAAAATGTTTAACTCTCTAATGCAGCTGCAAATTGAGTCAAACTGACTCTCCATTCAACAACAGAAAAAATTTTTTGCAGCTGTTGATGCACTTTTCAACAAGCTCAGTGTGAAGTCCATGTTGAAAATAGACTTCAACATATCTACAAAAACTCAAAAAGCAATAAGTCATTATCCAAAACTCTTCTTTTGACCAAAGTACACACAAAACTCCAGGTTAATACACACAATGCTGTATTAATTGTGCTAGTCATGCTAACACTTATAATGAAATGAAAAGTTAAACCATGGTTGGTCTTAAAATCTTGCTTCTGCTCTGTCACATACAACGTGATGTAGTTTCCTCTCCTAATGTAAATAATTATTGGAATGACTTGCTGGTCTAATATCCTCTGGTGTTCCAGTTCTTGGAGAGATCTCCATCAGCAGGTCAAAGTTCAGATTGAGATCAGAAATGAGCCAGAATATTCTGATCAATTTATGAATCATTGGAAACCGTTAAGGAAAAATTAATGTATCCAGAAAATGTTGGTGTGAAAAGCTCTGACAGGTTTGTTCTGACAGAGTTTCAGCTTTGACTTCCACACTTCACATGTTCTATACTGAAAACACAAGAGGTGTGGCAATATGTTCAAGACAAACTATGAGATTCTATTTTTTAAAAGCTGCAACTCTGGACATATACTCCAGCTGGCAAAGCAGAAGCATAGTTGAAATAAAGACGCAACATAAACCATAAATTTCAGTCATGAGACTTTAGAAACCAAAGACCAACATAACAATCTATGTTTCATGTTCTTTTATTACTTTAGCTGTGCAGCATTTTGATCTGCTGCACAGATCAAAACATTATGCTACGGTTTATGTTTTTAAATGTGCAACAGCAATCATCTTGATTTGACTAACAGTCATGAGACTAGAAATTAGATTAGCCACAACAAAAACAGTCTCCAGACCATCTGTAGAGAGGAAAACATCTCTGCCGGTTCAGCCCGGAGTCAAAGCATGATGCTCAAAGAAATGACCAGAAGACCCAGAGCTCCGCCTCAGACTCAATAGGACTCATTTAGCAGGGTAAAGGTTAA